AAGAGCAGCAGCAGCATCCAGTTCATACAACACGGAGATATTTCTGTTTGCCACAAGAGAAACTTTTTTCCCACTGTCTCCCATAATAAATCACGACAAGAAAGAGAGGAGAAGAAAAAGACGACCAGAAGAATTCAAATATTTTCCAAATACAGAATCAAGCAGTCGTCTTCTACCTCGCCTCAGAAGACGTAGAGGAAGACGAAGAACAAGATATCCATCCACCGCTCGCTCTTTCGCTCGCTCGCTCGCTCGCCCACCGCTCTTGTCCTTCTTGCACCGATTAGGACACACTTGAATGTTCACATGGCCTTTGTGAACACATAACAATCAAATTGCTACTCGCATCGCTAACTCTCAAAACAGCTTTTGATTCCCCAATTGTAACTCTTGGTGTCACTGGGCGCAATAAAAATAAAACTGCAGAGAAACGTGTGTCTCTCTTTCGTCGAGGAGGAGAGAGAGCAAGCAGGCAGGAGATGACCTCCACCTTCTGCTTGCTCTCTCGGTTGAGATGAGAAGGACCAAGGAAGGAAATAAGAAGCTCCTCAAATTTACGAGATTCGCTCCGACACAAATTCAAACAAGGGGAGGGCACCCTCGCTTTCTCTCGCTTTCGCTTTTTTTAGAACCTTGTCCGTGGACATGACATGCAAATGCAACAAAAGAGAAATAGCAGAAATGAGTTGAACTGGACACACGTGGGTGCATGCATGTGCATACGTTTATGCATATTTCGTGTATCAAGCAGGTAAAATATGGCTGAGGCAAAAATATTTAATACTGCCTCGAGACATGAAGAAAAGGGCAGGGAAACAAACTTGATTTAATTTAAGTTCTGATCTTTTGATGCAAGGTACGCATACTGAATATGCTACATTAATCTCGATTACTCAAGTTGTGAAAATGCAATTCTTTTCATGTATTGTTGTAAGATTAAAGAAGAAATATTTGTGTTTCATGCTCTCAAAAGTTGATGATTTCTCTGAAAATCGTGGTGGTTTCATAATTCAACACCAAGAAGCCACGATTCTGAGATTTAATCTGTTCAATCCACCAAACCGTGGTACACATCAGTACATCACCCAGAAAAGAATCCATCTTTTGCTTTGGATGATTAAACTGGAGAAATCTGCTGGGCGACAGGGATTGCCTTGTCCGCATGATTACCACCACGATCCTGCTGCTTGGAACTAAGGGGAGAATTTTCTTTAAATTGAAAATCAAAGGAGAAAACAAGGAGATAACATTTTCTGATTAAAGACTATTTGGACCGAATAAGTGGACCGAAAAGGAGACAGTTTTTTGTTGGATCTTTCCACAATTGATTTATTGTATCGCCTTCATTGCTTCTCCCAGTGCTGCTTTCCCTCAAAACTCTCACCACGAGCCACCACCATCGCGAATGTGTGTTGTAACTGGTATTACGATTTACCCAACAACAAACCATTGTAAGTTTCCTTTGTAAAGCCGAGACTAATTCTATAAAGCAATATTTGTTGGTACGACTCCAAATAAATACCCCACATTTCATCCTGATGAAAATTTGGGGACGAAATAAGCTCTCTGGAGCTTTTAAATAGGAAAATACGGCAACTGCACTGACATGATAAGCTTCTGTCCACATAACGAAACATATTTACTGACCATTTATCCCTGATTCGCTCTCGTATGAGTGAAGTCTCCAATAACATCAGGAGCAGTGGTTGTTGGAGAAACGATGATATTTTTACAGGACATCTTTCTCGCCGTATATTCGTGTATTAGAGCGAAGAAAGAAACCCATCTGCAGAAAAAGTTTGGTTGAAATGCGAACTTTCTTTTTCACTCCCACTATTTATGTCCCATACTCTTCGTATCTTTATTTGCCTCACTAGCACTACAACTCCGCTTCGTTCGTACGTATTTACGTGTGTGTGTAGGAAGAATTCTTTTCGCTCACGTTTCGTATTGGGTGAAAGAGCTACAACCACCACCAGCACGTTTTTTCGTCTTCTTCTGAGAAACTTCCTCCTCAGAGCCAGGTCCCATCCATTCATTTCACCAAATTCTTTAGCGACACGGATGCTGGGTGGGCAAAAATTCACCAAAATGAAATGAAACCAGCAACAAAACACACCACCGGCATTTAGCCAAATAAATATTTAGATAAAACCTCAAAACTCATGGTATGCTTGGCTGGTTAGGTTTGAACAAAGTTGGGTATTTTCTGTGATATAGGAGGCATCAGTGCCAACAGCGTCGTTATCATTTTTCAACAAGTTTTAGCCCACAGTAAAGTAAACCATTTCAATTCTGAGAGAGCTTTTTGTAACAGGGATGAATGTATGAAGGGATAAATATTGCCAAGTAGAGAGAGAGAGAGAGAAGCGACATTGCATGGTTGCAAAACTGAGAACCTGGGCTGAATAAAAAAGGAAAATTATAGACCAGCTTGCATATGCCACAGCAGAATCACATTCATCAGACGAAATATTCAAAAGGTTTGGAACACGGATTCATAAACTGGGGCCAAAATATTTTCTTAAATCTTCTTCACCCTTCTCCTCCACATGATTGAGCATGCAGACCAAAATATACATATATCCAGATTTTGGAAAAAAACTGTGCATCTTTTCTCAATACAAACCCCCTCCCCCTTTAGTGTTGACTTACTTGGATCGCAGTCTGTAGTCTGCCTTGGTGCCAAAAGAAGAACAAATCTAACACGAAGCGGACCTAGAATATTCAACCATTATTCTCTCATCTCTCTGTACAGGTTAAAAGGTAGACTAGATTTTACTGAGGTGGGTTACTTTTCATTGCGTGATACTTATACGACTTATCATATTTACTTGGCTTGGGAGGCACTAGCGGTAGTGCCGGTTCGTGGTAACTCGACTCTCGGTAATTAATACAAGAGCATTAAAAGACGATTAAAAGATAAGATTAAGAGTGGAAGAAGCTAGTTGCCTGCTTCTTGGGTTGACTGAGAGAGAGCCAAGACCTTGTACTTTACTTGACTCCTCTCTCTCTCTCTCCGTCTCTCCAGAGTTAATGACTTATTCATCTGAAACAATGAGTCATTTACGCCATTGTTCTCAGACGGAGAGGAGCTGTAAGTTACTAACTTGGGGGGAATGAAGTGTTGAAATTACATCAGAGACTCTGAATCACAAATGCTTTTGGCTATTCAATGAATTATTACAAGTATTGAAACTTGGCTGCTGTTACTGCTCCTCTTCTTCGTCGTCGTCGTCTTCTTTTCACACACTTTGGAGAACGACAACCCCACTCTCAAGACCCAGCCAGCCAGACTTGGCGACACGCACGCACACACCCAGAAACAGGAGTCCTTGTAGAACCATCATATACATTTCTGCAACTAAGGAACGATTAGGAACGACAGGAGAAGAACGGGCGGGCTTGTCTGCGGTTGAGGGTTATTACCGCCGCCACACAAATTTCGACTCAAACTTTACCAAATTCATTTTCACAATAGTGGAATTTTAGATGAAGTAGCAGTGCTGGTGGGTGTTAGTTGTCTCTGTGACATAGTGGGATTTTCGACTTTCCTTAACATTTCACTACCAACAAAGTGAAAAATCTCAAAAGCGAAATGTTTCCTCACAAAAATTCCTTTGGGTGACGCAACTCTCTCTCTCTGAAAATGAGGCAGGAAGTTGGAGTGAAAGTGGAATGGAACAGGGTAGAATAATATGCATCATTAGGGGAGCGACTTCCATTATGCCCATCCATCCCAAGCCAACTCGCCTGCTTGTCTGGTCCTAGTGGTTGTTGCAGATACGAGTTCCTTCGTCGTCCACTGTTCAAGAAGTTGAATGCAAAGCAAAGTTAGTGGGAGTACAATGAATGAGCCCATTTCAATTGCTATGTTTCAAAGTTCAAACTCCAGACTCAAACTCAACTTGGCATGATTGTGGTGGCTCAAGGATAATAAACACCTCTGTCGCATTTCCTTCGTGCGGTGGGGTGATGGCTGGTAGCTTGCTAGCCTCCTGGGTGGGTGGGTGAATATGGAAAGAATGTGCATTCAGTCTGGTATGCAGTATATGTGCATAAAAACAACGTCTTGTATATGCAATAACATAACGGCTATGCCTTAGGTCTTGGTTTATTGAGGTGAGGTCTGGTGAAAGTGGTCGTGATGGTGGTGCTGGTGGTAGGAGAAGTAGGAATAAGGAAGAGCGGGGATGTCATGTCATGAGTAATTTGGAACTGCCAAGAATTGAGATTCAAGAATTGGTTAGAGAATTGAATCGAATCACGGAAGTAAAGTGCTTCGTGCCTTTCCCAAATTGTAGAGCATTTGTAAATTGCAGAGCTTGTTTCCTCACAACGTATTTGATTGACAATATTTACGCTTCGGATTTGATTGAGTTTATATAGCGAGACGAGACGACGGGGGAAGAGGTATAAATCCGTGTCGGTGCATTGCATCGCACACAATAAGTCAGTGCAAGTTTACTTGAGGCCTGTAGTCGAACTTTGGTCTGGTCGGTGCATGCAATCCCATCCTTGCTGCTCCTCAAATCCACGTGCAAATATATAAACCACCAATTGTTCACACAAAAATAAAACCTTTCTTCTCCTCCATCACAGAATATAGATTCGTCATTTACTGCTCTTCTCACATACATATGTCCTCCATGAAAGCAAACCAGCCGAGTTGAGCAATTTCGTACAAATTGGACCAACCTAATGGCATCCACACTAAAAGTTTCTCTCTGATTTCTCCATGCGGCCGTAATTTTCATACTAATTCTAGAACTAGCGAGAGAGAAAGCAAAGCAATGAGACAGACAGCACGAAACACAAATAAGTGAACCCACGCTGAATTAGCTGCACTTACTTTTCTTTATAAATACTGGTAATGGTGACAGTTTAGTCACTTGTATTATTTCTCAACTCTTCTAAAACATCTTCTTGAGAACAATTTAATGCGCACTATTGCTAATCTGCTGGGCACATTAAGGTGGATGAAGAGACAAATTGTTTACCTTTTCTCTCCTGTTTACACTTCACTCTCTTTCTCTCTCAAGACTTGGGAGATGAGGTCAATGCAACTGCTGCCAATTCCGAATGGGACTCGCGGGATGAGTGGAGAAGGATCAGAAGACGAACAACTCCCGTGATCTGAAACATTGATAAACAAAGATGTTGTTGATAACGAGTGGTCTTTGGTCCTCCAACGAACCGAGAGGAGGAAGAAGTTAAAGGTGATTAAAAGAATAAATAATCCTTGGCTGGTGCTTCTCTATCAAAAAGTAATGAGTAGTAGTTCCCATGCTTTGGGTGAAATAAATACAGCGAGGCACGGAAGGAAAGCAAGCAGTGGAGGGTGAAATGAGGGCAGCATCGAAAAATCAGGAAACAAAGGTAGGAAGAGTGGAGTAATAAAGCCTGGAGCAAGTTTTGTTCTGCACAAGATCTGCCTGCCTGTGCAGGAGCAGTGACTATCAACCACCACCCGCACCTATAAAACCAATAAAGCTAAAATAAGATTGAAGCAGACACAAGACGGGGAAGGATATCAACTCCTACACACACGGACACTTCTTTTTATAACGTTTTCATCTTATTCCAAAGTAAACAAGAAAATATGTGGATTTCTCCGCCATTCTCTCGGGGTTGAGACTACCCAGCCTCCTGCAAGACCAGACCACTTCCAGCTACAGAATGAGATTGGCTTCACTACGTGATTCTGGCCAAAATCAGTGTTTATTGAGAGATTTCGTTTGCCGACTCCACTTTTACCCATGCAAACTCTCACCCTGCTTGCACCCTCCTCTACTATGTACGACGAGGAGACTGCTATTTTTCCGGATGTTCGTATGCCATCGTCTTCGCCCACTTCTCGCTTTCCAACACGCCGTATGAACAATGAAATGCAATCCAATCACAAAAACTTTTCCAGATTTCGAAGGAGCGTGGTTTCTGGGACAGGAAATTCTTCGTGGTATGTGTACAGAGAATCCCTTAAGGGGGAGAGAGAAACAACTATTTCTCAAGTTTCATAATTTTGCCATCTTTTCAAAAATTTGTAAACTTTAAACTCGCATTCACATACAGTAACAGATATGTTTCACCCTCCACTTTGCAGAATCCGGTGGTAGCGGATTAGATGAAAATCATGAATAAGTTTTCGAAATGAAAAAAGAGAGACAAGACTGGTTTATGAAGAGCAATTTTTCCAAATTTTGCTTGGCATATAAATCGCAGCCGACTTGAGTCAGGAATAAAAAAACCACCATCCTCACTTTAGAACTCGAGTGGTTGCAGTGCAGTTCCATGCACAGAGTTTATTATTTTGAGTCAAAACCTTCATTCACCTCGCTTTCTCTCACCCGACGCGGGGTGCATCACTTTCCTGGAAGACTTGACCTTCCTACTTGTTGTAATAACGACTAACTCTCGGAGAAGTAATATTGTAATATTGTGTAGGAGGTAACGAGCCAAGTTTTCCTACCATTTGCATACTACATTCGTCCTACCTTGTTCTGGGGTCGGCATAAAAACTTTCACTTTTAACACCTCCTTATACTGCACACAATTTGAGCCGAGTCTTTTGTTCCCTTAATAACGCGAAGAAGTAGCATATTTGTCAAAAGAAAGCAACAGAAGCTTTCTCTCCTCTTCTCCTTCTCAGTCAGAATCTCATTTGCGTAACCAGCAGCAGCACTTGGGTGGATTGTTGGTGGTTGGTTGGTGGACTGCATCGCATGCATAGTGAAATAACCGAGAAGAGCGCAACGTGGAGGAAGCAGAATATGAATCCACATTTTTCTCGAGCAATAAAAGTTGCCCGTTTGAGAGACGGTGGATGGAACGAGATAGGAAGGAGACGTTTATTGTGTTTGTTGAGTGCGAGTGCATGCCAACCAAAAAACAAGACGCAGGCTGACAAGTTACGTGACAATGCAGCGGGGTGCTTACTGCATCGTGATAATAATAATGGAAGAGAGGCGAAAGTAGCAGCAACTGCACTCCAGCAGGCCTCACTTTCTCCACCATCATTTTCACCAGCAGCAGCAGCCCAGTCACATATTTCTTGTTCCTTTTTCCATGTTAAAAAAATTAGTCTCATAATCATTAAAATCTTGATTTACTACGAGACACAGGTTAAGTTACGTCAGAGGCGACTGTGCTACTTTCTTAGTCACGAAGAAAAATGCAACAAATTCATTATTATACGTAACCCAACCGCAATCCTGCTTAACTTTCAGCTCGTTTTCTCCTTTTTGGCTTGAGAGGAAATTTTTACGAGATTTTTTTTTCTCTTTCGAATATATCAACCTTTTTCAATCTGGTGGTGATGAGGAAAGATGTCACACGCCAGACCACCACCACCACCACGATCACACTGCATTTCCAAGTCAGCTCAGCTCCTCTTCTCTACTTCAACTTCTTCTTATTCTTGAGACTTTGTTGGAGTTGAACTCATACCCATATTTTCAAATCTGTCATCTGGTCCCTTTATTTGGCTAGATTACTCAGACACCACCAACCAAGGAGACAGCGGTAGGAAAACTTTTCTCGCCACTAACCAACCAATGTTGTTCAATCTTATCCTCTCGTGCTCCATATCATCCACCGACGACGACGAGGACGAGGACGACGAGAAGGACGACGTATAACTATATTAATCCTTCAACCTCTACTTATACTGCATACTAAATTCAGCCCCTGTCTGAACCACTACAGCATCACGACCAAGTGAGGAATATAAAGATTGGGAGCAAGCAGAAGGCAGATCTTCACCAGCCAGAAAAGTTTAAGTTGTTAGCCGGTGGGAAGGAAGTCGTGGTATAGGAACGAGTTCTCGGCACGAAATGAAATCAAAGCATATTTTCTTATGCTTCGCTCTCCGCTAATCCACACGAACTACCAACAGTTTTCTCCATCCGAGCATCCATCCACTTCCAATATTCTTGAGTAGTTCGCTCCGCCTGTTCTTAACTTGGTGAATTTAGCAGGGATCATTCCATACGTCCACACACTTTCACTCCCACGATACACACACACACTCGTACACACTCATACACACGATGATGAAGAATTTAAGCTGACTGATCACCCCAGTTTGTGTGTGTGTGTTGGTTTTAGTTGAAAACATTTCAGAGAAAAAGTTTTCAAATAAATTCTTTCTCTGAAAGAAATTTGAGCTCTTCATTTCATCAATCTTTCTCGGCAATATTTTAGATTTTTAAGATTTTTTTCTCTTCCCAGCCCTCGCCTCTTTCTCCTCTTTCTGTACTTTTCTTGCATTGATGATGCGACTCTAATATTGAATTATTGATTTTGCTATGAGAGAAAAGAGTCGAGTGAGTAAAAGCTTGAGACAAGACAGCAGCAGCCTCGGAGAAAATCTGATGAGAAGATGCCGTTGTTAATAATACTGACACTACGTACATATATTGAAAAAAGGAGGGATGAGAAGTGAGTTCAGTTTGTGATTGAGACGCTGCATGCTCATCTCTTTCTCTACATACTTACATCAGATTGAGTGACTGAATAGAGAACAAAATTCCCACTCGAAGCACAAAAATTATCATTTTTACTTTCCCCGCTTTCATTTTCAGGAAAAAATGCATCTTAACATAACCTTTTCGAATTCTATGGTATCCTACGTAAAAGTTTATCAGGATGAAAACCACTTTTTTTCGTCTTCCTCTCCAATGTCTGATCCATGCCAGCCACCCACGTGTAGATAAACCGATGGAGAAGCGGTGTACATAAGTATTAGATATTGACAAGTATCTAAATACTCGAATTATTACGCACATTTCAGCCCAAAGTATAAATACACGGCCTTGCAGCAGGTTCTTTTTTTATGGAGAAAGTGATTCGTGCCTTGCCACAATTTACAGTGTTCCTTTCTAGGCTTGGAGTCTCTTTCTACATAAATATGGGAATCGCATAGAGAAAAAAACATGGCGAGAGAAATTTTCTTGTAGGTAAATAGCCATGTAATATGTTTCTTGAGTTATATCCGCTGTCAACCAAACAGGAATGAGAAATACTAGAAATGGTTAGACCGGTTACGCAAGAAAGTACGTAAAAACTTGATGTAAGTACCGAGCGACCCTGGAGTTTTCTTCCAACACGGATTCCATGCCATGTCTGTAGCATGTCAGGTCTTTTTTCAATTCAAGTCGTGAATTCAATGCAGGTAGAAAAGGAGTGGTAATATGTAGGCAGTGGCAGGAGACATGAGAAAAGCAAGATATCAGAGGTGATACGAAACATATAGAAAGAGCTGTGTTGCCGAGTGAAGATATGTCACATGCAATTCTGGAAATATGTTTGAATACCGATGATAACACCAGCAGCAGCAGAGTGGTGACGGTGGTGGTGGTTCGGAATAGAAGTGAAACGTTTCCTGGGTTCCGTATTTACGTGGGTTTCGATTTGTATGGTGGTATCAGATCAGCATTTCTTGTGGTGAAGATAAGAAGAAGAAGTACGGAAAAGAGAGACATGATTACAATGGCATGAAGCAATTTCACATTTGTATAGTTGAATGGACGTGGCTGTCATGATGAGCTGGAAGCAGATTATAGATTCCGCTGCTGCTCTTTTCATTCCATAAATCTAACCCTTCATTTACCTGACGTTCGTATTATGCCAGAGTAGGACACGATTCAACCCAATTCCTCAAACTATGCATACCTCTGCATACACATAGCTGTAGTACCTTTATGTAAGGTTGTGTAGCCTTCTACGTGCATATTCGACACTGCCAAATGGATAATTTTCCCAGCACATGGCGTCACAAGGTGAATATATTATTATTAATATGTGCATTATAACCCAAGAATGGGAGTAATACGACAAAATTTGTAAGAGCTTACGGCTCAAGCTTATCATCATGCTCTGGGAAATTATCGTGAACAAGGATGGAAGTCCTGGATTTGTATCGGTTCAGCTCCTTCACCATTGTTAAATAATTTAGTCGAGTGACGTTTTGAGCCAATGGATAAGAGATGAAAAATATATTTCTGCATCATCACAAAGTTGTTTTTTAGTGAGAAAGGAAGTAGGAAATCCTACTAATTCTCAAATGAAGTATTGTTAGTCACATGAAAAGTGACATTTTTAGGCTAACCAGCACCACACACATCACGTGTACATAC